AAAGTCCCAGTGCTGTATGGCTAAGGGTGCCAAGCCACTATATGCCATCCTTGTAGCCATTCGGCACAGTTTGACAGTATTTGACCATTGCTGAAATTCCTAGAGAAGAAATTAGCTGGGGTTGCCGGTCATTTGACCTCACGCTCTGTGCAGGTTCTGCAGTGAGGTAACAAAGGAGCAGGGGGGAATAACTTTGAGCAGTCCAGTGTCCGGACTTGAAGTGGTTAAAGTAGTGCAGTGCTGATTAGCAAAAAAAAAATGCACTGGTCATGAAAGGGGGTAAAACCTTATTATTAAGGATTTCCTTTAACTTCAGTATACTGTTGAGCACACTCAGAAGATACGGGACAGTTTGTAAAGTCAGGTTGATAACTGGATATAAACATTTTGCTCAAAGACTTTTAAACTGAATTATTTGAGATGAAATTGATCCCTAAATATTATTATGGCTTAATCTCACCAAAAATGATTACATATTTTCTGTAACCTCAGTGCACTGTTATGCACACTGAGGAAATCTGGGACAGTTTATAAAGTCTGGATGATCTTGAATCAAGGATCATATCAGACTTCACCTCTGATGCTCAAGCTGAAGAATCAGATTTATAGAAAGTGAATGTAGGTAGATGGTGGGAAACGTTCCAGATGTTTGCACCCCTAAGCCTGCACAATTGTAATAGTTGAAGACTGTTTGATTCGGTTTTAGCAGCACACACACTAGTCTTTCCTTCCACCTCATTTGACTTCTTAATATATTCTAGAAAATTTCTCCCAACTTTCCATTGAGCTGAACACCGTATATATTAGGCTACCTTGGTAGCGTCGGTCCTAGTTGTCGCCCATAGCAGAAGGTGGCTACCTTCCATTGTCCCAGATGGCCATAGAAACATTAAAGGGCCATAGGCAACACAAACCGGTATTCCTCTGGTCTTGGAACCTTGGTCTGTCGGGTCACAAAGCAGCAGGGACAATCCTCAGACGTTTTAGCCCTGGCTTCTCGTTTTTTGTGTTTGGATTCCTTCGAAATTGTCTCAGCCCAGCAAATGGCTTATTCCCCATGTGTTGGGTAACAGGTGCTCTTCATTAATTGTCCTTAACAAAACATTGTCCAACTGGCTGCCATAGTCCGTTATAAGCGGAGAGCTCTGTGTGCATGTCACTTGTGCTCACTTGTGTGTTTTACGTGTGTCCCGTGTACCGTGCATGTCTCATCGTGATGCTTGTGATGTGGCTAAAGCCTTGCTGTGCTGGGAGCTGGCTGTCATGTAGCTGTGCTTGGCAACAATATGATGTGTATTCAAATGTATTGTAATGTTTTGTATTCAATTCCTCATAAAGTAATGAAGTTAAAACTTCAGGCAATAGGACAATAGTGATCGCTGTCTCTGTCCTATGATCACTTTTTTTTTTTTTTAGTGTGGTGGGGTGTTAATTTTTTTTTTCCTTTTTTTTTTTCCCCTTCTCCAAATTTTTGCTTTTTCTTTCTGTTCTTGCTGTTTTTTTTTTTCCTTTGCTCTTTACTTTTCTTCTCATTTTTATTTGTTTTCTTCTCCCTCTTCAATCTTTTTCTCTTCTTCTCACTCTCCCGTTGTTGTTTTTTTTTTTTCTCTCTCCCAGCTTTTTTTTTTAACTTGCTCTTTATTTTTCATCTTGTGTCATGCATTCTCTCTCTCTCTCTCTCCTCTCTCTCTCTCCCTCCCTCTCCTTCCCTCTCCCCTCCCTCCCCCTCCCTCCCTCCTCCCTCCCTCCCCCCCATGCCCCCCCCCCTCTCCCTCCCCCCCTCCCCCCGTCCCTCTCCCTCCCTCCCCCCCCATCCCTCCCCCCTCTCCCTCCCTCCCTCCCCCCTTCCTCCCTCCCCCCTTCCTCCCTCTCTCCCTCCCTCCCTCTCTCCCCCCCCCCTCCCTCCCCCCCTCCCTCCCCCCCTCCCTCTCTCCCCCTCCCCCCCCTCCCCCCCCTCCCCCCTCCCCTCCCTCTCCCTCTCCCCCCCCCTCCCCTCCTTTCCCCCCCTCCCTCTCTCACCCCCCCCCTCTCTCTCCCTCTCTCACTCCCCCCCCCCTCCTCTCCCTCTCTCCCCCCCCCCTCCTCTCCCCTCTCTCCCCCCCCCTTTCCCCTCTCCCCTCTCTTCCCCCCCTTCCCCTCTCCCCTCTCTTCCCCCCCTTCCCCTCTCCCCTCTCTTTCCCCCCCCCTTTCCCTCTCCCCTCTCTTCCCCCCCCCCTTTCTCCTCTCCCCCCCCCCCCCCTTTCTCCTCTTCTCTCCCCCCTTTCTCCTCTTCTCCCCCCCTTTCTCCTCTTCTCCCCCCCTTTCTCCTCTTTCTCCCCCCCCCCCTTTCTCCTCTTCTCCCCCCCCCCCTTTCTCCTCTTCTCCCCCCCCCCCCCCCCTTTCTCCTCTTCTCCCCCCCCCCCCCCCCTTTCTCCTCTTCTTATATATTGTTTTTAAAGTTACGCTTTCCTTTTTTTCTCATGTTGTTATATTTCCCCCCCCATCTCTCTTTTTTTTCCCTTATTCTTTTTTTTTTTTTCCTTTTGTTCTTTCGTCTATTTTTTTGCTCTACATTTTTTTTCTCTCTCCCTCTATTTGTTCCTCTCTTTACTATTACTTTTTTCTCTCTCCTTCCTCTTTTCTTCTTCTTTTTTTTTTTTTCTCTCTCTCTCTCACTTCATTTTGTTCTCCACTTATCTGTTTTTCTTCTCTTCCTCTGCTCAGCTGTCTCTCGTATTTGTGGACAGTTCCATTGTAGTTGATCACAATGAGTGCTTCTAAAACTAAAGTTTTTCTATAACACAAATTTTCAAGGGAGGCAATCTCAATTGGGCTTTTGTACAAATCTAAATAGTCAGTCTTTAACTATTCTAACTGTGCAGGCTTACTTGAAATTAAAACCAGGTCTGCAGTGGTAGCTCACATATTGTCATCCTGACAGGTTCTGTTAAATAAGAACATAAAGACTGCTTAAGGGTAACTTTATTATGTAGAGGGATCCAGGGGCGGACTGACAACTTATGGGGCCCCCGGGCAATAGGGGATCATAAGGCCCCTGTGTCCTTGCCCAAACTCAAAAAAGCCTATGAAAAAGGTACCAGGGGCATCTCATGGGGCCCCCTACTGACCCCGGGCCCTCAGCAGGGCCCGAGTATCCAAATGGTCAGTCCGCCCCTGGAGGGATCACTACCCAAGCAATGACTTTTAATCATTTTAGATGAGGGATTAAAATAGTTTTTTATAAATTAAGTTTGTTTAGAGTTTTTTTTTTTTTTTTTTATGCAACTTCCTCACCGTAAAATAATTGCATAAATATACACCCCCCTTTATTATGGCACACACAGATCTTCACTGGTGCGGCCAATTCATTTCTAGAGTCTGTTGGTTAGAGCAGGAGATTGCCTGTTCATAGTCGAGGGGTTTTAGATGATTGTCCTATAAATACACGTGTCTGAAAGGTTGGAATTATGGTATAATCTGCACCATGAAGATAAATGAACTCTCCGTGCAGCTCTGTGAAGAAGCTATTAAAAAGCAAGTCAGGGGATGGATACAAGAAAATATTCAAGTTACTGGATACAGTATACCTAGGAGTACAGATAAATCAGGAATGTATCCACACCAGGTGTGCCACCCTAATGTCAATGATAGTAATTAGTGCATGTGGCCAATTTTATCGCACTTAACTGGATTTCCTAGTTCAGGTCAAGTGAAACGTGTTCAGTGTGCACACATATTTAAGTGCAGAGCAGTCCTCAATCCAGAATTCCAAAGCTCCATGACTCAGTCCAGGATTCTTCCTGAGCCTTGTATCTCGCTCCAAGATCCCCCCCCAAGCCTCCATAACTCAGTTCAAGATTCATTCCAGAGCCCTGTGACCTAATACAAGATCCTCCAAGCCCCCCCTTACTTGGATGTAGATGTCCCCATGACTCAATCCAATATTCCTCTGATTTCTGTGAGTTAAGGCAAGATCCATCCAAGTCCTCATGACTTGGTCCAAGGTTCCTCCCTGAGCCCCCTAATCCCTCCGAGCCCCAGTGGCTCAATCCAAATTGCCCCATACCTTAATCCCAGTAACTTCCCTAAACTCTGAGATATAATCCGGGATCTCCCTGAGCCCCCATGACTCAGTTCAGTGTTCCCCCTTGATTTCCGTTATTTAAGGTAAGATCCCGGTGAGCCCTCTTGACGTTGTCCAAGATTCCTCCCTGAGCCCTAGTGACTCGATACAAGATTCCACCATGTTTTAACCCTTTGAGGACCAAGGGACGTATTTGTCCCATGTTTGTAATTGCGTGTATCATCTGATAAAGAACTTAACTCTTTTTTTTTGGTTTGAGTCAAAATATTAGTTCTTATCAACAAACAACAAATGGATCTAGCTTTTTGCCAATTATTTCATGAAATGGCTTAGTTACAGTAACTGAAGTGTACGAACTTTAAAAACAAAAAAATGTATTATTTTGGCGTTCCAAAACCTTACGGTCCTCAAAGGGTTAATCCCAGTACCTTCCCTATGATCTGTGACATAATCTAACTTCTCCTATGAGCCCCCATGACTCAGTAGAAGATTCCCACCTGATTTCTATGATCTAATGCAAGATCCCACCGAGCCCTTATGACTCAGTCCAAAATTCCACTCTGAGCCTCAGTGACTCAATCCAAGTTGCCCCCCTGACTCTTTGACATAATCCAAGATCTCTCCTGAGCCCCCATGACTCAGTCCAGGATTCCCACTTGATTTCCGTGATTTAATGTAAGATCCCAGTGAACCCTCTTGACGTGGTCCAAGATTCCTCCCTGAGCCCCAGTGACTCAATACAAACTGCCCCCATGTCTTAATCCCAGTATTTTCCCTAAAATCTGTGACATAATCCAACTTCTCCTATGAGTCCCCATGACTCAGTAGAAGATTCCCACCTGATTTCTGTGATCTAATGCAAAATCCCACCAAGCCCTTATGACTCGGTCCAAAAGTCCTCTCTGAGCGCCAGTGACACAATCCAAGTTGCCCCCCTGACTTTGACATAATCCAAGATCTCTCCTTCGCCCCCATGACTTAGTCCAGGATTCCCACTTGATTTCCGTGACTTAATGTAAGATCCCAGTGAGCCCTCTTGACGTGGTCCAAGATTACTCCCTGATCCCCAGTGATTCAATACAAGCTTCCCCCATGACGTAATACCAGTACCTTCCCTAAAATCTGTGACATAATCCAACTTCTTCTCTGAGCCCCCATGACTCCGTAGAAGATTCCCACCTGTGATCTAATGCAAGATCCCACCGAGCCCTTATGACTTGGTCCAAAATTCCTTTCTGAGCCTCAGTGACTCAATCCAAGTTTCCCCCCTGACTCTGTGACATAATCCAAGATTTCTCCTGAGCCCCCATGACTCATTCCAAGATGAAACCGTCATTCAGTCCATGGTTCCTCCCTGAGCCCCGTGACCTAATCCAAGATCCACTCAAGCCCTCATGACTCCAACCAAGGTGCAAGCAAAGGTGCTGGAGCCAGTTACAATCTTTAATAGTATTGTTTTATGAAAAGTCTGCAAACCTCCAACAGTAGCAAACAAAATTGCTAATATGTTTTGGCTGGATCTCCTTAATCAGAACAGGCTAGCTGAAATGCATTGGAAGTCTTGTATGATGCTGTCCAATGTTTGAATTTTTCTAATAAAAACTATTAATGTTTGTAGGTGGCCCCAGCACCCTTGTGGGTTTTTTTTGCTGTTGGAGGGCGGACAGGAGTCCACCTGTTTTAGCCGGCACTCCATGGACCATATTGAAAGAGAGGTTGAGCAATTTTGGTCCCACGCCCCGTTACTCAAAGCAGGATCTTACTAGCCTCATGACTTATACCACGTCTTGACTCAATTCCTATGAGCCATCCCTATGCCTCGTGATTCAGTGCCTCCTCCCCTCATGACGTAATCCAACCCCCCATCAGTCTGTCAATTTCCCATCCCCAACATCCCAGTACACATGCAGCATGCTGAGCCAGGATCTCACTAGTGATGGAATTCACAGTGCACTAAATCTAGGGATAATGTAAGAGACGACTGCTCTTAGATGTGTATTTTTGCCATGGTTGCAGGAAAGCCTCATTACAGGGAGTGTGCAGGGAAATGTCTGAGTGCCAAGGCACCATAGGGAACTATAGGCACTATAGGGTTCAGCAGTGTGAGCTCTCTTTGTCCTCTATTAACCTGTCTTCCTGCTATTCCTCATTAGACGTGAACTCATTCCAACAAACGACAAAGTGGATTGATGATGTCAGGACGGAGCGGGGCAGTGATGTCATCATCATGCTGGTGGGGAATAAAACAGATCTTGCTGATAAGAGGTAATGTCAACCATGTGAATTTAAAGTGGGGCTCCAGCTGGCTTTGAAAGGAGTCAGATGGTTAGAAACCTGTTGAGTTATTACTGCTTTCTCTGTCCCTGATTTTTTTTTTTTTTTTTTTTTTTTCTTCTTCTGGTACCATAAACAAGCAGAATTTGTCCAGCTGGGACACAAACAGCAAGAAAAGATATGTTTTTGGAGTGGGGAATGCTCTCAGGCATGTCACCCTAGGTGTGACACATGCCTATAACTTAAGGGAACCTCTCAGGATGGCGTTTTGACACTCCTCTTGCGCTGGAGCTTGCTAGTGGCAGACACTTAGACATGGTCCCAGTCCTGCCAATAAAATATTCTCTACAGCATCCAGCACAATGACCTGTGTGACACAGAACTGGTATTACTTCAAGAAGTCCATCAGTGGCACTGAAAGGGAACTGCAGCTGACAGGTTCTCGTTAACAGCTTAAAGCGGAATTTCCCCTTTTGGGTGGAGCGCCACTTTAAGTCTTTGTCCCTCTGCTCCCCATTAAGGATTGGCACCTTTGGGGAGTCGATTCCAGAATTTGACAAGTACCAGCTCCCACTTTCGCTGTAATTGCCTGAGGCGATCGGAAGCGGAAGTTGTGTCCTCCCTCCCCGTAGTCTTGTGGGACACGTGACAGGTCCCAGAAGACTACGGGGCCATTCACAAAGCGCATCGCTTCTCACACATGCGCAGTGGTTACCCGGCTGTGAAGCCGCAAGCTGTCACAGCCGGGTGACCACACTGAAGATGCCGGCGCCAGGGAGAGAAGACGACCGGTGAAACCAGCCAAGGTGAGGACACTGCTGGACCGAGGGACAGGTAAGTGGCTCTATTTTAAAAATCGGCAGCTACAGTTTTTGTAGCTGCTGACTTTTATTTTTTTTATTTTCAGCTGGAACTCCACTTTAACTTTAAAATAGAAGAAAAACCCTATCGTTAAAAATGCCATGAACATGGTAAAAATGAAAAAAGTTTTTAAAGTCATTATTCAGTACTTTGAAATCTGCCACTTTCATTAAAACATTACCTGGTCATGCCATGAAAGTCCTTGTTCAGGCTTCTTTTTCTGTCGCATTGTCCCTGTCAAAACGTAGGACACATGAACAGCTATACCAGCGCACATTGCACAGCATGGTCCGCTATCATTGGGTCAGTGGGTAGGACTTGCAGTGGCAATCAGCAGAACACATCATTCCCCCCAGGCAGAGCAGGGTGGAGTGGAGCTGTCAATCAAGCCATTGGATCCACCCCATAGGCATTTGACATGGGCAGTAGTGATGAGCTCGTGCATGTTCTGTTTAGGAGCGTGTGAGCCTGCCGGGAAGTTGTCATTTATAAATTGCAATAATCTGTGGCCAGGGTAAGTCCCTGCCCTGCAGTTGTTACTTATACATGCCCCCAGCTCATCAATAGTGAGCAGCTAGAAGCCGTGAGTAGACATAGCTTGTTTGTAAAAGGACAAGAACCACGTGCACCATGGTGGAAATGCTACAGAAATTGAGCCTGCAGAGAACAAGACCAAAAAATAAATGAAACCTAGAATATAGACATGTGTGTGGCTTTACAGTTTTTTTCTTTTTTTTTTGGTTTGTTTTTTGGACCCTGAGTTCATTGATTTGCTGATATACATTAGTGATTATTATTGGGGATCTTCCTTGAGATAACATGGGCTGGTTTATTTCTTACACAGGCAAGTGTCCATAGAGGAAGGAGAGAGGAAAGCCAAGGAGCTGAATGTAATGTTTATCGAAACCAGCGCTAAAGCCGGATACAATGTAAAACAGGTAAGGAGCTGCTTCTGGCTGTGCCCCCATGTCCCACCCATTCATCGTTTCCTGCTACATTTATTGCTTTCTTTTCTTGTGTCTTCCAGCTTTTCAGACGTGTGGCAGCCGCGCTGCCCGGCATGGAAAGTTCACAGGACAAGAGCAGAGAAGACAGTATCCTTTCCCTGTGTCCGAGAACATTCAGTATATATGGTATTTACCTTCCAAGGGGTCATGGCCAATGGTCTTTGGCCTTGGGGCCTGTGTCAGTGTAATGCTATGGAGACTGTTCACACACAGCTTGTGACTGGCTGGTTCTGTTTGAGCATCAGTCTCCAGAATCCTCAGGCCGAGAGACCACATAGCCGAGTGCTGGAGGGCAAAGAGCTGGTCTTATTATAGAGGAAAGCTTCTCTGGTCCACCATTACCATTTAAAAGCTGAATCTGTTTTTCTAACCATCCTCAGAGTTCACAACCCCCCCCTTTACAGAGTTCAGCGTGGCTCTTCCAGCAAATGCAAGTGTACAATCCAAACGCACACGTTCCTGCGTTAAAATGGCTGTGTGTATAAGTGGGTGCTGCAGCAACAAACGGCTGGAACCGAACAGAATCAGCAAGGGAGAATATCACCAGCACACCGAGGATCACCAATATGGGTCCAAAAGGTTTAACCCCTGCATGCCGGCTCCTCCCGGCCCTTTAAGAGTTTCAGAAGCCGGGACGAGCGGGGCGGGGTTTAGGTATCGTGACCGCCGTGACACGTCACGGCGGTCACATGATCGGGAAAGGTCCCAGTCGAAAGAGGAGACCGGGACCTTTCCGGGAGTACCGGACATGTGTGCTGGGAGCGCGCAGGGCGAGCACATATGTTTTTTTTAATAGAACGCAAATGTGTGGCCGCTCGGCGTCTAGGCCCAGACACCAGGAGGCCGCGTGAAGAGGTTAATGAACGATCACATAGTTACAGCAAGGCAACGTTTCGGAGTCTCGCAGGACCCCTTCATCAGGCATGTGACGATCACATAGTTACAGCAAGGCAGTGTTTCGGAGTCTCACAGGACCCCTTCATCAGGTCACATGCCATTCATTAAAACCTTTGGACCCATGTTGGTGATCCTCCGTGGGCTGGTGACATTTTCCCTTGCTATTCCAGCAAAGTCGCAACATTCATGTACAGAGATCTGTGAATGAAAAAAGTCCTATTTGCCCCCACAGTGTAGGGACTAATAATCTCCATTGAGCACATGTTCAGTGCTGCCACCACCACACTTGAAGGTCCATACCTCGGTACGGACCTGAGCTGGGTGAAGAGTCTGCAGGAGCCAGAGCCTTGCATCTGTAATCTACTGATCACAGTTGCAGTGCTTTGCACATGGGTGCAATTATTTATTTATTTATTTATTTATTTTTTGCAAAAGATGGAAGTCTTCTTTAATTGTACAGAGGAGGGTAAAAATATTTGGAATTTCCCATTTTCTTCAGTGTTGATACTTCTGAACTTTTCCTGATTTGGGAAAATTCTGTGCTAGGTTGTACAACTTTATTTCTCAGACCCCTAGGCCAGTGGTGGGCAACCTTTTTTTTCAACTGAGCCAAATCTCGCCAAAACCACGATTGAAATTTATTTTGAGAGCCACATTTTTAAAACTGAAAATACATCCCCCATATAGTAATTCATGCCCCATATAGTAATTCATCCCCCATATAGTAATTCATCCCCCATATAGTAATTCATCCCCCATATAGTAATTCATCCCCCATAGTAATTCATCCGCCATATAGTAATTCACCCCCCATAATAGTAATTTATCCACCATATAGTAATTCATCCCCCATATAGTAATTCATCCCCCATATAGTAATTCATCCCCCATATAGTAATTCATCCCCCATATAGTAATTCATTCCCCATATTGTGTCAATTCACTTACCTTTGCTCCGCGCGTTCCTCTCGCCGTGTTCCCGCGCCGTTCCGGTCTTCAGGGCGGACTGTGAGAGGAGAGGAGTTCGTCACGCTGCCCCGCCTACATCCTGACAGCCAATGTTTGCCACACTCCGCAGGATTAAAAGGTCCGCCGGGCCGTAGTTTGCCCATTGCTGGGCTAGCTGCAGAGTCCTGACTTTTGGGGCGGCCGCCCGAGAGGAGGGAGGGGAGCGGGCGCCCGGCACACAGAAGAGCCGCATTAAAATGTGTAAAGAGCCGCATGTGGCTCGCGAGCCGCGGCTTGCCGACCACTGCCCTAGGGCAAAAGTTGGGCGAAAGCACTCAGACAGCTTTGTTCAGCCATTGGATTGCTAATTCTTAAAGCAACTCTTTCATCAAAAAAAGAACTGTATTAATAGTTTTCAGTCCCACTGCTTGTGCATCCACTCTTTGTTCTCTTGTAGAGCTATACCAGCCAAAGTATATTCAGCATATGACACAGGATACCTCTCAAGCCCCAAGATCCCCATGAGGATACCTCTCAAGGCCCAGGATACCTCTCAAGCCCCAAGATCCCCACCAGGATACCTCTCAAGCTCCAAGATCCCCATGAGCCCCAATAACTCTCTCCAGGAACCCCCCTGCCCCTTGGCCTAAAGCCAGATAACCAAGCCCTGTGACCTAATGCGAAATCCCCAACCTGTTTTGTCACCAGCGTGTTTCCTTGGGACTGTCACTAAGGTCAGGGTAGCTTTCCCCTTTGGTGAGCTCAAGAGGTAAAATAAATGCCAAAGCCCTGTGTCTTGGGTTCTCTGAGCTCATATGTACCCCGTCTATGCCCATAGACTATAGAAGGCAGGTGTATTGGTAGGATCTGTCTGTGGAGCAACCCAAAAATGTGTACACTTGGGAGGGAGGATGCTATTGGTATCCGCTTATTAGGGTGACACAATAGCATTTAGATAGGTTTCCAAATAGGAGCTAGCCAATACCATCCCTGTGGCACCACAGGCACAAGTTTTTTTTTTTTTTTTTTTTTTTTTTACCAATTCTACTCTGAAAATAGGCAGAACAGATATTTTGTGGCCAATGTGCTAATTATACTGGAAAAGCGATCAGACGAGCGGTTATATGCTGGCGCATGTGACAGAACGCGGCATGTCGTTCGATAATTGGGGTGAGATACGGGGCACAGCAGCGTCCGCTCTCGGTCACGTTTTATGTGCGTTGTGTCCTTTGTCACTGATCAGACTTTAAAAGCCGCATCCAGGGCTCTCCAATCTTCGCGCCGTCATCTTTCTTTGTCGGAGATTTCCTCTGTTTTGTCTGGATGCGTCAAAAAGCAGACAAAGCTATCCTTCTGTGACAATGTCTCTGTGTGTGTACAGCAAGGAGACAAGCCGCTATATTGATGATCTTAACTACAAAGAGAGATGTTTCTGAAAACTGGTGCAAGGGGAATGCAGGCGTCGCCATGGTAACCTGTCAGGCATTTGTCTGGCGCAGTTTGCTAAATGAAGATGAAAGCACTTTAATGCTTTCCCAAGCCGAGTCCCATTTCACTTTGCATCAAGGTCCTTAAAGGGGCACTCTCCTGTAAAATATTTTTGTTGCTTAAAGGTAAAGTAAACGTTGTCACATACCCCTTCCCCAAAATCCACACCCCACCGCCTTTCCAAGGTTACCTGCGTCACAGAGTGGGGGGATCCTGGCGATGCTTTTCATATAGCATGGCTTTGCATGTCTGCAACAGTTGGTTACTACAAATGCCTCCATGGCAGCAGAGCAAGGTTGAAATGCTCTGCAGGCTTCATAGAAAAAAAAAAAAAAAGATATAGAACAAATGCACATTGTTTGTTAGATTAAAATGGTTCTAAAGCCTCAAGTTTTTTTTTTTTACCTTCATGCATTCACTTCATTAATGTAAAAAAACCTTCTGTGTCCAGAATCACTCTCCCCCCTCCACATACTTGCCTGATCTCGATCCAGCACTGTGCAGGGGAGCAGCGGCTCTCATTTCCCTTACAGAGCAGATTGATAGCAGTGGGAGCCATTGGCTCCTGCTGCTTTCATTCAAATCCAATGACCAGGGGGTGGGGTGTGCCTTACTGTCTGTGTCTATGGACACAGGCAGCGTGCTTCGGTACACCCCCCCAAGCAAGTGGCTTGCTAGGTGGGTTTTTTTTGGAAGGCAGGAAGAGCCAGGGGCGTCGGCGGGGGGAACCCAGAAGAGGAGGATTGGGGCTACACTATGCAAAGCTTCTGCACAGAGCAGGAAGTTGTCTTCCTTTTTCATATTTGTCTTTTATATTTACCAGTTGTTCAGCAAAAGTGCCAGTAACAGATTTTGGATGTCATCATCATTTCTGCTGGAAAGCTTTGCCAGCATGTAAATGTGGAGAAATAACAAAATCCTAAGTTTTACCATATGTATGTCATTTCCAAAGTAATTCTCAATATTAATAAATGTCCTGTTTTCATTGATATGCCGCGTGATCTTCCCATGAAGGACTTCTTTCAGGCACTTCCTATTCTACAGTGGCTGCACTCTGCCCAATCTTCTAATTGTGCTCCTGTGTTGTCACTTTATCATGCAGGCTTCCAATTTGGGACAAGTGGCTGTTTTCACACACGTTATGTAAATATGATTCACAATTGTTACTGTGATGTGAGTCACTTTGGGCGTGTCTTGGAAATTCGCTTTCAACGAATTTCTCCTTACCGTGAGTGTCCGCAGTTGGATGCGCAGAAATCCCCCATAAAGCTGTGCGAAACTTCCGCTACTGCAGCTAAACTCCACGATTCCTGCGCCTCCAACTGGTTTAGCTCTGTTGAGATGTGGGGAAAATGGAGCTCCCGTTACCCAGGAATGATCACACGACACTCTCAGGTTGCAGTTGGAATTCACTCTGAGACTGGCTCCAACCCCAGCCTCCTGTTTTATTACAAGCACACACACGCCCCCCCCCCCCACGCAGGAGGGGGGTCAGGTCAATCCCCTCCCACAGAACAATGTATAGGGGGTGTCTATACACAGAATGTACATCCTGATTGGAGTGTAGCCTTTCCTTTTATCTATACTGAAAACCAGTTCTCCTCCCCTCCCCCTTTCCCATCATTTACATGCTATCAGCTCCTACTAGTATGTCCATTCCCTGTACAAGCATCCCTTAGATTAAACCGTGTCAGTCTGTATCTGAATGGGCCCGTTACGATCTTTATTAAAACACATCCATCCAGATACAGTTCAGGTCGGTAGTGGTTTGTAAGATATACATGAGCCTACACGCAGAGGTCGCACTGCCCGGCGCCTGGCTATATGAAGTCCATGTGGTACTGTGCTGCTGATA